AGAGAGAATAGTGCAACAATGAATGAGTGGAAGCCCAAAATCTCTGTAAATGTTTATGAAAATTAATAAAATATAATTATAGAAAAAAAAAAAGATTACCATGTGACTCTAAATTTCTCCCAAAATGATTTTTTTGGGCAAAGTCCCGACAGTGTTTATTAGAAGACAAATGGAAATGTAAGAGACATTGTAATCAGATAAAAGTAATGAGGCCTTAGCGTTGGTTCATTTGGACAGCTTCAAGGGAAAACCTCTGAGTTGACAGATGATAGTTTCCATTGTTCAATCTAGTTCTCGCATTAAATAAAGAATCAAGAAGCAACAGAGATAAAGTAGATGAGTGTCTGCTGGGGGCAGGGGTGAGGGGACGAGGGGGACAGTGAAGAAGCAGGAGTGATCCCTAAGGAAGGTGGGGTATCTTTTCAGGGTAATGAAAACGTTTTAAAATTCACTATGATGATGAAGGCACAACTCTGAATATACGACGAGCTACTGAATTTCACCTTGTAAATAAGTTAGTTGGATTGGTGAGCCAATTCCACTGACCACTTCCAGGAAGTCCACTGCGATTCCCTGAAACCTTGCAGGACAGAGGAGAACTGCCCTGTAGGGTTTGCAAGGCTGTAAGCAGATTTTCCTGCGGAACAGTGGGTGGTTTGGAACCACCGACCTTTTAATTAGCAGTCTAGCAGCTGAGATACCTAACGATTAAAGACTCCCTGGCATATAAATTACATCTCAATGTAATTTTTTGTGTTGGGGTGTTTTGGGGTTTTTTCTTTTTTTTTCCAGAAGAAAACCCGCAAATTTATTTATACTTTAAATTGTAAACACAACATTTTTGTCTTGAATTTGATACTTCCAAGGTCTCTTAATCAAATGAAGCAGCAACAGGCAGGGGAGCAAACTCAAGCCCATCCAGACGATTTTATCGAGAACACCATCCAGAAAGAGACTGATTTGGTCTTGTCTGTGATTAACCTCTCCACACTTTGGTATCACTACATGCCGCTGGGGTTTACTATTGGGGCCTGAAGGAACATTCTCCATTTTTCCTCATCACTAGAAGTCCATTGATAGTTTTTCCGAATACCACATGGCAGCCAAGCACACTCAGCGGCAGCCGTTTGTACTGAGATCACTGTTTGCCATGGGAAGCAGACCTGGAGCCGGGTGTCTAAGTTTAAAATTTTCACCTGCAGACGACGCTCGGTAAATACTGGAACTCTAGTACCATCTCCATTAACGAAATCTCCGGCCTGGATCATGAAATCCTTTATGACCCTGTGGAAGGTGCTCCCTTTGGATCCTAACCGGAAATCCATCTTTTCTGAATTCTCCGGTACACAACTGTCTGAAGTTCTCAGCTGTTTTAGGCACAACATCTGCAAAAAGCTCAGGCACAACATCTGCAAAAAGCTCACGCAGCCAACTTCCTGGCCGCCAATGCTGACATCAAAGAACATCACAGGGTCGGAAGGGCTTGAATTTGCCACCGCTAAAGCTGTGACCCGGAAACAGAAGGCACATCTCAATGGTTTAAAAAAATCAAACCAAACCAAACCACACACACACACACACAGCATCAGCTTTAAAAACAACAGATCTCCATCTAAAGGAACATTCTGGCAAACCTTTTATTAACTGATGTGTTTTTAAAATTAAGGAGAAAAGTGATTGAGGGTTCAAATGGCAAAGATACAGACACCCAGGGGTTTGGAAAGCTGTTCTAAGCCCTGTATGTAGACAAAGGGAAAGCCAGAACTTCATCAAAAGGGATGAAAATACCTGAACAAGATCCTTCCTCCCGACCAGCAAGGCAGAAGCAGCATTCTTCTGACATGTTTCCTGAATGTCATTCACATTTAATCTGGGGAGAAGGAGAAAAAGCATCGTTCTAGTCTAGCTTCTCAAGTCAATTATTCCTGCTTTACCAAACAGCCTCTTTTTCTGTCACCCAACATGTGCTGGTCCTAAGCTGGTTTTCTATTTGACGAGGAGAAAAGCTTAGCTGTTGATGACGTGATGCTGGGGCTCCAGGCTTGGAGAAGGTAAAATTGCTCGCCCCTGTGAAGTCTGGAGAAGAGGGCATTCTTGAGTACTAATTTTCTCAGCAGTTTTTCTGAGGTGTTCCCAAGACTTGAGGATTGAATAAAAACAGATTTCAATGCATGCAGGCCTGACTAGGCTACAAAATTAATTCTTTTCATTATGTGTTTAAATATAGGAAGATGAAAGAAACCACAGATACCCTCACCCACCTTACCAATTCCTTTCACCCCACATCAATCTGCTTGCATCTGTTTCACACACTGGGGGTGTGGGAGGTAGAAACCCAAGAAGGGCCCCCAAAATCCTGGCCCTTGGCATGACACCTCAAATAATCTCCTCCCTCGGATGTGTAGACAGGGCCAGGATATGATGGTATAACTTACTGAAGCAATTAAGTTAATAACTAGCTGATTATGAGTTTATCAAAAGGGAGATTATTATCTTGGTGGACATAACCCAGGCAGGTGAGCCTTTGGGAAGTATCAGTGAGACATTCTCATGATGGCCTTCAAGAAGATGAAATTCTTCAAAGTTGGGTAGCTGCAAGGGACTTGATTTCTACCAGCAAAATGAATGAACGTATGAGAGAAAACTGAGCATCAGTACACACACACACACACACACACTCACTCACTCACTCTCCAATGCCATGATTTCAGCCTGGCGAGATTCCTGAGCAAGAACCCAACTACCCCTTGCCCCACAGAAACTGTGGATACTAAATGGATGTTATTTTAAGCCACTAAAGTTACAGCAGTTTGCTTCACAGCAATAAAAAAGGAATGTAAAAATAGATCTAAATTATAATAACAACAATAAACATACTCAGCTTGTCCAAAAGCTGCTTTTGAAGAGAGGCTTCCGTATTTCGGATGGAAGAAGGTCTGCCTGCCAATCACTACCAAGCTGGAAGTATCAGCACCCTTGGTGACCAGAACTTACATGTACAATTCGCCCAACGATTTGTGCACAGGAAGGAGGCAGGCGATGTCCTGGATGATGACTTTTCCTGCAGCCTTGATGGGCCGATTGCCGGAGTCCGACCCCTCGCGCTTGCTTTTCCATCTCCTTGATTTCTGGGGGAGATGACAGGATGTCACTAGTGGGGACTTGAAGGAATGGAAATCTACAGCTGCAGAGCACATCATATTTGGGTCATTGGTAATTTGCAGAGACTTTGCATTACATCATGCCCACAATTACATGAATCAGCATCTGTTGGAAATAAAAGGATGACAAAGGGAATTGAGCTCTGAGGCCAAATCCTAACAGGACAGAAGCACCCAGTGCAGTGCTGTGGACATTCTGCAGGTGCTCGGAAATAGATACCAGGAAGCGAGAATGAAAGGAGCCAAAAGAGAAAGAACAGCAGCTCAATTAAGTTAGTAAAGACCACAAGAAATGTGGGAGAAGAGCAACTTTCAAGGTCGGGCTCGGCACTAGGGTCAAAATTCTTGATTGATGCCAATCGAGCCTTTTGCGTCTCAGGCAGTTTCAAGAGGACCTGGGACCCGGTTGAAAGTTTAACTTGGGCATAAACACAGGTTCTGGAAAGGACAACTTCACTGCCCAAACAGAAATGAGCCTATTTCCCCCTAGACTTTGTTTCTGAAAGTGACCATTTCAGAATGTCAAAAAGATGTGAGCAGAGAGGCTCCGCATGGCCACAGAAGACAGCTGTCCCCTTGTCCTCTGAGCCTGAACTACAGACGGCTCCAGAGGAACCCTGTGTGTGAAATGCAAATGACAGAGAAGGAGGATTAGACTGCAGCCCTAACGGTGTCTGCCAGGGGGTAACATCCTATCTTAGTTCACTGCCTCCTTAAGTTTCTTTGAAAGGGGAGCCCACAGAAGTGAGTCATCTCAGGAGGGACGTGGACACATTCACTAGTAATGTAGCCAAAAGGAGCTGGTGAGAGGGCCTGGAATTCACAGCCAGCGATCCGTGCTGCCACCGTGGCCTGGCTCCACACGCTCCAGGCCAACCTACTGTATTTGCTGTGACTCTACTCTTGTCATGCTCTCCAGTCTCACCTCTGCGTTCTGTCCAAAGGCCTTCTGCGTTACACCATTCTCACTAGGTTATGAGGGCACCATGGAAAGGGGTGCGTGGACAGGGCTGTGTAAGCTGGGAAGTGGACCTTTAAAACATGCTCATTATGAGGAATGTATGTGGATGTTTGCGTTTTTAGATGAGATTACACTCGACTAAATTCCTTTTCTACAAGTGATTTCCATACAGTCCGTTCTGGAACTAGTCATGGTCTGAATCCAGATCTTTCTGACCACTGATGTCCCACTGAGGCCTGCTAACCGCACCTTCCTGTAGGATTGTCAAGAGTTACTGAACCAGCCTTAACTCTGGAAAGCTGGACCTTGCTCCTGGCTGGTGGAGGCTGAGCTGAAACGTCAGGGCCTCGTTTGTCACGGTTTGTAAATATGTGTGCTGCATTATCGGTTTGGAACTGGGACTTACGTGATCTTCAGCAGCGTTTCAGGCACCACTCAACTGTTAACACACACACACACACACACACACCCGTTCTACAGTACAAGAGGGCACGGGATCTGCCACGCGGGGTAGCCCTGCAGTTTTCTGTCTGCCCTGGTTATTTTTTTTTTTAAGAACTTTTGTGCAGACTCTCCTTCCAGTCCCAAGCATACTGCTGCCACAGGGGCCAGTGAGGGCTGGACAAGTTACAGATCAGACAGTCTGTCAGAAGGGGCTGAAGCCAGGCAGTATCAACTGATACAAGACACAGACAGTCACACACGTGCCCTGAATGTATTATCTAGCAGTGATGTCTTCTAGGGAGGGCGATACAGGGTCCCTCCAGCCAGCTGTGATGGTGCACAAGATGTGGTCCACCAGAGGAGGGGAGGGATACAGTCTGGACATTCACTTCACTGTGATTCTCATCAGAGTTTCCAAGGGTTTGGGAGACTCCAGGCCACTAACTCCCACAGCACATTTAATTGGACATCTCAAATGAGATTTAAGGGATTGGATTTTTTTTTCTTAAATGAAAGGCTAAAAAGATTCCACCTGGAAGGGAAATCACAGCTTGTTCAAAAGCTGGAATGTAATCTCTCTGCTTGGTCTTTGAGCTGACTGGCTCTGGCTCCTTGAAAAGAGGAGAGGAGAAGCAGCCCTGCTGAATTACGCAGCCGAAATAATGGGAGGCCGCGTGAGAGGTGGGCTACACTAGCTTCCATGCTGACTACGACAGTTTCCTGCTTTTAATAAAAAGCTATTAATAATTCTATTAGGCCCATGTGCCCAAAGTGGCTCATCTGCAAACAGAATAATCTATCTGAAAAGTTCCAAACGACCCAAGTCCAAGGCTACAAAATGTACAGGATGTAATGACGTGTCTGCTGTTGAAATGACAGCAACTCTTGCTCTGTAAGAAAGCAGGCCTCACGACAGCTCAGTGACAGGGGCACTGTCCCCACATCCCAAATGAGGATGTCAGGTGTGCCCAAGGTCATGGGAGTCGGGATTTGAACACACACCCGTCAGCTTTGCAAAGCCTTGCTCTGAACATGTGATTTTGACTTAAATGGGGGGGGGCACCATATCCAGACTAAGCTGCCTATTAATATGTAGGTGGCGTGGTCTATGTTTAAATCCATCTCTGCCTCTGAGATTAGCATTTGATTCCAGTGGTGCCTACCCAAACCATCCTTTTAAAACCAACCACTTTAAAAGTCACGTCCTTTGCAGGCACTGACTGCAAGCTGCTGGAGGAGTCTGCAGAAGCTCCTCACGGCCTGCAGCACCCCACCCCAGCACACAACTGCACCCCACAGTCACTCCAGCCGCTGCGTTCCAGACTCAGCAGTCTGCATTCGCACTGCGGGGCCTCCTGTCTGCATCTCTCAGGACTGGACATACTCAAACCTAAGCAAGCTCAGGGTCCTAGGACATCTTCCTCCAGCTGCAATCTGAAGTTAGAGCGATCAACAGGAGCTGTCGACAGACACGTCAGTGGCCATGTGAAGACAGCAGGCTTTAGGAACCTGCGCAATTATCCTTCCGCGCAGAATGGGAGTCAGAGCCTGTGTTTCCTGGCTTTCTGGTCCACAACTTGAGCTATCAGGTCCCTAAGTGTTTCTCTGTATGATCTACACTGCATGCATGCTTCACGGAACCTCACTAAACTGCCATTGGGCCTGTACCAGAAGGACATTCCCCAAAATAGGCTCACTCTAATGATAACAGCCACCAGGAATCAAGGTATGGAAGCAATTTCAGGTCAGCACTATTCATTATCTTAACCCTACAAGAGATAGATGTGCAATGTTGTCAAGGTTTTTAAGGCATTGTAACAGTGCTTCTTTTCCTTTTTAAAATTTGTGGATTATTGGGGTTTTTTTAAAATAAGAAATACTGCCCACAAGATCACAGGATGGCTCTAATCTAGTGGTGGACTATTTCTGGGCATCCATGTACAACAAGGCTGGTCTCAAAGATCTGAAGTCAGAGGTCAGCTGAGGTCTTAGGACCTTGCTGCTTCCTAACAAATAGACGGCACAAATTTTCAGTGTTTTTTCTAGGATTCTGTCAAGAAAATGTTTATATTCCACTTGCACCTCACCTAGACTGCCTCCTTCCTGAATGTCATTTCTACGCAACAGCCGGGTGACAGCATGCAGGCTCTCCTATGGGCTCGTAGGGTCTGGGGAGCAGTGATGGAGCAGGCTAAGGGTTAGCATTACAGGTCAGCAAGGTGCCCAGGACAAAAATCTCCCTCCACCCACCGCATAGTTCCAGGCTCCCCGTGATCACACCTACAACCAAACAGCTGGGAGACAAGGACTCTACATTCCTCTGAGGTCTTTTCAAAGCCCCTTCCCCACAGAATTCATGAGAAGGGACAGAGGGAAGAGAGACAAAGCAAGACAGACAAGTTATTATGGGATGAGCGCCGGGATGCCCCTTGGAACAGATCAAGTAGGTGTTCACGGAATTACGGGGAAGAGGAGAATGAAGGAGGGAAGGCGTGGAGCAGGGAGGAGGGGAGGCAGAGGTGCAAACAGCACTGAATGACAACAACAGCCAGCTTGCCACTGTACCACCAGTGTTACTGCCACAACCGGAGGCAACACAGATGCCAATAAATGGGTTAAATGTAAAACCAGCCCAAGAATAAGCCACCAACTGCTTCGCAGCAACCAGTCAATGATGCATAATCAGCAGAGTGGACAACGAGTCAAAATGAGTTCCTACTGAAAGGGCAGTGGGGGCAGGGACTTCTGGAAATCCGGTGGGGAGCCAGCAGCCGGCTGCCTGGGACAGGCCCTCTGAGGGGCAGCAGTGGTACTCGCAAATGGGGCTCCTGATTTGACCTGCTTCTGGCATGAAGGGTTCCAGGACTGACCCCTTGAATATGTCTTACACTTAATGAATTTATACCAGAGCTTCAAGGCCTGCCTTCCACAGTCTGAGGTCCCCTTGTGCACATGGAGTCATGAAGGGGGTGACAGAGGAAGACAGAAGAGGGCAGACGGCCAGCAGAGGTGAGTAGGAAGAAAAGAAATGAGAGAAATGTCCATAAACAAAGGTTTTCCTAGCAGTGCAAAATATAAAGGGGTGGGGGAGCTTATTCCAGAAAATTTTCAAAGGATTAAAAACTAGCTTCTATGTCATGCCAGTGTGGTAGGTGGGCACAGCCCTCTCTGAACTAGATCAAGAATATAGAAATTGAACAGTGACAACTCCCCCCCCCCGTGTGTCCCTCTGCAGTCCCTCGTGCAAAAGTGGGCTCTTCTTTTGGAAGTTTATGAGATGAAATCAGCTGAGTGGCAGGCTTATAGACAGGGTTTCCCCCAGGAAACCCAGGATTAAGCCTTATCTTCAAAGAAGTCCATTCACCATCTTTGCACCCCCAGTATTCATTCCCCTGTTTGAACAAGGAGGCAGTTGTTGGCATCTGATCCCCCAGCAGTAAAAAATTTGCATTGGCTGGTCCTGAAAAGTCAGCCAGCCTGTCACACCTCAGGTTCCTCAAAGCCAGACAGGTGGCATTTTATTCTTGGGCCTTTGGGGAAAGACAGGATTAGTTAAGGAGAGCATTTGCACAGCGCACAGTACCGGGAAGTCGTTAATTGCTTGTATGGACCAACGTCGCCGGGCAGAGCGAGGAGACATCTGTGCGTGAAAACGTTACACCCAGGAGGAGGGAAGAAAAACACCGAGAAAATTAAAAGGGAAAAATATAGAATAAAATGAAAGCTTCCCACACATCTGATGCCCTAAAAGGTGCAGTATTATACTCCAAAAGCTGGGATTGGAATGACAGGAAAATCTCACCTCTTTCCCAGCCCAGCCCACTCCACACGCAGCCTTGGCTTCATGGGACTCACAGCCGCGCCGCTCTGCCGAGGGCCCACCACCAACGGTGGAGCTCTAGGTCCTAACTAGGGCTAACATCTCAGTGCAGGAGGGGAGACAGAGGCAGAAAAGTCTGCTCTTTCTCCCCTTGAACAGGTGACAAGGTGAGAGGACATTTGTGTTTCTAAAAAGGAGGTAGCGCTTCTAACAGACTTGACCTCCAGTGGTTTTGGGTGTGAGGTCGGGAGGATGATGGGACACCAGGGGACTGCAATACTCTGTCCAGAGCAGAACTCAATCCAGAACAGGGGAGTGAGAGTCCTGGAGAAATGAAGAGGATGGAGGGAGGAGGCTAAAACTGGGCAGTTACCCCTTTGAGGGCACTCCAGCCTCCAACATGAGCCTTGGAGTATGTAACAAGGGCTACGGGGATCTGAAACGATCCTGTTAATATTTAACAAGGGCTACGAGGATCTGAAACGATCCTGTTAACCTTAAGACTGCTCCACTTATTTACATGGGAGCTATTTTAGGGAGATTAACTGAAGCAAATGTGTGAGGGTGCAAATCTGTTTAAACGTGTTTCTAGGGCAATGTTTAATGTTTCTTATGAGTTCTGGGCTTTTGGAATTACTCTATGAGTAACAGTATTTCAGATTTACCAGCAACTCATAGCTGATCCTACAACCAAAAGCAATGCTAGCATCTCTCCCAGTGGTTTCTAACTGCCAATAAAGTTGCTAGGATTTTCAAGGTCTCATGCCTGTGTTTTAGGTTTGGAATTTTTTTATTTTTATTTTTTTTAATTTCTAAGAGCAAACCTTGAAATTCATCTGGAGAACACGGGACTGAATGTAGCCCTACGGGCTAAGCAGAGCAGCTTAAAAACACACAGAACAACAAAAGAAATAAATCGGATTTGCTGGATTACTCCCCACATGGCTCTATATTTTGAATAATCTCAAAAATACTCTGTAATTCCTTTATTGCTATACTTTAATGCAGCTATATCCTAGTCCTTTATTTTCATTTAAAGCTCTCAGGAGTAGAGATTGAAAAAAGGAATAAGGAAAATGTAAAAGAAACATTTTACTGAGAAGGAAATTTAGTAAACTAACTTCTAGGGGGGAAAAAGCACAAGTGATGTGGACACATGAAGCCAGAGAACTGGAAAAACAGGAAGCGCTCCTGGGGAGACGAAACTCTACCAGCCTCCAAGAAGACTGTCTACACAGCAAGGTGGCCTGAGGAAGACTCACAGCTGTATTTCATTTCTTTCATCTCCCTTCTTGCCTATATAAATGGGATGGATCTGAACAAGCATCAAGGAGAGAGATTTCAAATCATCATGAAAGAATTGACATACTCATTTTACCTTCTTAACCTACTAGGCTAGGCCACCTGAAACATTCAAGTTGGAAATGGGCAAAGATCAACAATTTCATACGACTTCATTTAACAACTCTTTCATGTCATCCACTACAATAAGTTCTCCCAAGAACTCTGATGTTCCAGTCACGTTCTATTCTTGACCTGCAATTCATTAAACTCTACACTCAGTTACCTATGAACTCTTCTGTATGCAGGTTATATATCAAAAAGTGTCACAGAAAATCATCATTAAAAAAGTATCCTCCATGCAATCCCGAAGGCGTATGGTTTGAATCCACCAGATGCTCTGCTGGAGAAGGAGGGGCAATCTCCTCATGTGCCAGTCGTTCAGATTCGACAGCACACAACAGCAAGCAAAAAAACCCAAAAAGTATCCCCCAATTTTGAAGTAAAATTTAAAGATTCCATAATGAGTGATATTAGGGAGCTGTAATCACAGAGCCCCTCTCCCCTTTCTGTGGATAAACAGCCCACAAGGGTCCGGCCCAAACAGAATTATCAAGCTCCTTCCTCCTACCAAATCCTACTGCTCTGGTAGCACAGTGGTTAAATTCCTGCTGGCTACTTACGGAAAGGTCAGTGGTTCAAACCCACAAGCCACTCCAGGGAGAGAGATGAGGCAGTGAAGACTTCCGGCCCAGACTTCCAGCCTCGGAAACCGGATGAGGCAACTCCACTCTGTCCTAACAGGTCACTGGATCAGAATTAACTTGACAGCAACAGGTAGAGGCCATGCCATCAAAACCAAGACAACAGCTTTCTGGTCCATAGTAAGAGAAGTCTCATCTTGGAACTCGAGTTATTTTAACTAAAGATGGCCTTTCCATACTGCTGCAAGGTCTGAATTGCTGGTCAACCTCCTCAACCCAATGTGGACCCACGCACAGGCAGCACACAGCGAACTGAAGGGAAATACAGAACTATCTCTGACTAAACTGAGCTCCTCCGCGTGGCTCTGACATGAAAGAAAATCCCCTCACTGATTCAACCATGAGTCTAACTATTGTGGCAACAGAATTCCTTCATTTCAAGTAATTTATCACATTTTCTATTTAGTTGTCTGTGGGCTTGAGAAAAAAATAAGAAAATTTTTTTAACAAAAAGGAAAAAGCACTAGAAAGGGTTAATATAAAGGACTAGGGGGTTGAAAGGAGCTCTAATCCAGGGGGTTGTGACAGCCAGAACCAACCCTCCGCTGTCTAGTGGATTCCGACTCACAGAGACCACAACATAGCCTGAAGGAAGTCGCACGCGGTGTCTCTCTGGCAGTCTGAATCATCAGACACTCCACCAAAGATAGATGGGCAATCTCCTCCTGTGCGATTTCCAGCCTCGGAAAGCCAAGGGAGGGTCAGCTATGAGTTGGTTTCAACTCAATGCTCATGAGCGAGTGAATGAGGACAGAGAGTAGGACTGCCCCTCAGGGTTGCCAAGACTGGGAATCTTCAGGGAAGCTGACTGCCACGTCCCTCTCCCAAGGAGCAGCTGGTGGGTTTGAAGCACTGATCTACTGATTAGCAGTCAACTAGTGCAGTACCAGGGTCCTACTGCCCATCGCACATAAAACAAAGGGAGATCGTAAAAAGTTGCATAGACAGGCAACAAACAAAAACCATTTCTGCCAATCAACTGAAGAGTTTCCCAACACTGGCTCTGTCCCTCACATCAGCTCCTGCCACTTGCCTCAAGTGCTATGGCCCTGGGACAAAACAACACAGGGCCAGCGGCTAACTGTCTCCAAGGGAGACACTGGCCAACCATGCAATTGAACACACATCAAATGTGCTGCTCGAAATTAGTTTATTTTTTTAATCATTTGACATCTTGTCAAGTGATCTGAATTGCACACAAGCCTTCACTTCACGCTTAGTGGGAGACAATCAGAGAGAATTCCTAAGGACTGAGTCTGCACCAGAGCTCAGTGGTAAATGTTTGCTTAAAACATCATGTCAGATAAAAGCCCATTTAAAACAAACTTTCAAACTGACAACACAAGAGGATCTCTCCTGCTTTGCCAACATCCTCCGTGTTGCTGTCACCAAAGGCTTCAGATGACTACAGCTTAAATTTTTTAGGGAAAATGAGTGCCTTAAGAACCCAGGAACATAAAGAGAAATTCAGGAGGTTTATGTATAAACTAGTCCAGTCCATCCAGATGGATACTATGTGCAAAAAACCCAATCCCTCTGTCAAACCAATTCCAATTACGGTCATCCTACGGACAGCGCAGGACTGCCCATGGGTTGCAAGGCTGTAAATGGTCATGGAAGCGGATTCCACTTCTGTCTCCCGCAGAGCTTCTGGTGGGTTTATCCAGCAGACCTTCTGATCAGCATCCTACCACTTTAATCACTGTTTCAATACAGCCCTTGCATTAAGGGCAGACTTGGAAATACAAAATTTTCAATCAAATTTAATATTCCTCACAGCTGTAAAGTACTACACATAACAAGATCCCAAGCCTTCTGAAGCACCCCTAATTTGTTGACAAACATCAGAATACTAAGAAAGATCTCAAGCTAAATTATTCCACTTGAAATAATGAGAATCAGCTCAATGAACAGTGATTATAAAGACAGGATTAAACACAAAGTGGGGAATATGGATTTAAGACTAATTTCTCACAACTGACAGTGGTGGAACCAAGCCCTGGTCTTTCTTAAGCTAATTTTGAAAATCAAAGACTAGGGGTTACTAATTTAGCTGCTATGCCTGGCAGGCAGGGAGACATAGAAGACTCCCCGGGAAGTCCTAAAAACCAAAGGCCAGGACTGCACGCTGCTCACCCGTTCCTTGTAGTAGAAGGAGCTGATGGAGACCTGCTCTTTCTCGCTGCGGGTGGGGCTCCCGCCATACAAACGGAGATTCCCAGGGGCCTCGGTTCGGATCTTCATCGGCGCAATCAGGCCAGTGTGATAAGCCGACAAGGCTGAGAGAGATCTGCAATTGAAAATGCAAGACCAAAAAAAATTTTTTAAAAAGCAAATACTGTTTTGTTACATGTAAGTTCAAGTCTGAAAGATTACAAGTGAGATTTTTTTTTTATCTAATAGAAAGATTTTACAAAAATCTGTTTATGAAAAGTATCATCCTAATCTGTAATCTACCCATAGTTGTTTAAGAGACTTAAATAAAGACAATTGGTCTAGGGAAAAAAAATAAGGGAAAAAAGAAAATGTAAGACCATTTACACTATTTTCCCCTCTTTCGAGATTTCTCAGCAGTGCTGTTCTTAGTCCTCGTTGAAACCAAAGGATGTGGAGGAAAAACAAAGAAATAAAAACTCAGGGAACTAAGCAAAACTAACAAACTGCAAAATGCTTTATCTGCAAAAGGTATAATTAATCATATATGAAGAAAATAAAAAAGACTCTATAAATGACTAGAATAAGTGAATGTGGTCACAAGGCCAATCTGCATAAATCTACGATATTTCTATAGAGTATAAACAAATTAAAAATAAGCATTCTATAGATTTCACTCAGCATCAAAAATATCAATTATTTAGGAATAAATTTATCAGAGAAAGTGCTGAAAATGTAAAATATTATTGAGAGAAATAAAAGAAAATCCAAAACAATGGAGAGACATATCACATCAATGGAGCTACAAGAGTCCATGGTATTTCAATGTGAATTTTCTCCTAATAGATCAATAGATTTACACAAACCCACTAAAATCCCAGCACTCTTTTGTAGAGGAAACAATAAACCAATTTCACATTGTTAGGGGTCTGTAAAAGAACTAGAACAGTCAGTTTGGTTGTTTTTGGTTTTCAATCTAAGGTACACCTGTTCCAATAATGGTATTTCGAACTGTTTCCTATTTATCAGAAAGTTGGATACACTTGAATAATAAAACTGTAGAAATTAAGGAAATAAACTGATTTCAAGAATACAATACAGCCTATTAAGGGTGTGGTCTGGCAGATGGATAAAGGAGAGAGTGTAGAAATAGACCTACAAATACAAGGCCAATTAATTTTCAGCACATGTGTCAATGCCAAGTCAATGAGGAAATGAGATTTTTTTCCCCCCATAAATGCTGTTGGAACAACTGTGCTGTTCAATATCTACAGAAAAACAAAACACTTTGGCCCGTCCCTTATATCAAACATAAAATTTTATTCAAAATGACTCATAGGTCATTTAAATCAGTTATTTAAAATTGTACAACTTTTAGAAGAAAACATAGAATATCTTCATGACCTTGGGGTAGGCAAAAATACTTGACTCAGGACACAAAAGCATTAACCATAAAATTTTTTAAAAACTGTTAATTGGGCATATCAAAATTAAAAACTGCTATTCATCAAACAGATGAACTGGGAATGTCAAGGACAGAGCACTCATAACGTGCCAGGAAGTATGCTAAGTGCTTTACTTATTTAATCTTCATTAAACTAAAGAGATGGGTACTAAGAAGTGGATACTGTTATCATCCCACTTTATTCCTGAAGGCACACAATTCACAGAATTTGCCCACCAAGGTCAAGCAAATAAAACTGGTACATCCAAGATTCTAATCCAAATGTTCTGGCTTCAAAGTTCTTATTCACTATGCTAGAAGGACTCTTTAAAAAACCCTCACAGAAAAAAAAAACCCTCACAAAACCCCCAAAACAAAAGCCTATTAAATTGTTAAAAGCACTGCAATCCCAGAGGTAGATGGTTCAAATCTACCAGGTGCTCTGCTGGAGAAGGAGGGGCAATCTCCTCCTGTACCAGTCAGATCTGATTTGACGGTACACACACACACACACGCAAAATTGTTAATAGTGGCTCTCCTGGGACATGGAAAAGGAATGAACAGGCAGTCGGCTCTGGCTCCGTGCTATTTTCAGTCTCTGAAACTTCACTGGAGGGTAAGATCTGAATCGCTTCAAACTCAACGACAATGAGTTGGGTTTGTTGACTTACTTAAATGGTTTTTGGTAACATTAAAAGTGACTCCTTAATTACGAGACTCTGATTATTCTTTTCATCCTTTTTTCAGTTTTATTTAATGTTCAAATAATGCTTTACCAATAAAGAAAGCACATTAAAACAGAAATTTGTTCTGACAACAGCTTTTATCAAGTTATTCCTTCTAATGGTTGGGTAGTAATCTAACAGCAAAAATCTCAGCTGCATTTTTTTTTAACATAACTCAGTTTTATTTCTCAGCTGCATTTTTATCATTCTCAAATAGATCTTAAAACTGGAGTTTACTGGGGAAAGAAACCACCTGAGTGCAAGCTCTGGCTGTTCCCAGACGTCTGCTCAAATCTGGCCAAACGAAGACGGATTCCTTCTCCACCTCAGACTCACCTAGGAGTGGGTTCTGTCGGCGAAACTGCTCGGTGCATGGTCATCGGCCTTGTGAAATATACCAGATAGCCTGAGAAAGGAGCCGTTACACACATGTCAGTGTCAGTGAGCTGGAAACCCGAATTCTAAGGCAGCACTGGCCAAGCTTTGTCTATCTTCATACACCCAGGGATAAGATGTATTTCCATAAGCTACTCATGATCTCAGGAATTCTGATAATGGGTTAACAACAGACTGCCCAGGAGACATATGGGGATGCTTGTGGTCTAGGTGAAGACCTCTCGGAGGCTTCACGTCTCCTTGCTAGAGCATCTGCTCAGAAACTCAGATCCAAACTCATTAGAATAAAAAGAATTAAGTTTGAAATCTTGTCGAAGAGTCTTATGATCTGACCAGGTTATCAATTTAGGATCAGACAATAAACACAATTTCAAAAGTCTTTTTTGAGTTGTCAGAAAATAAGAATTCTCTAGTAGAAATAAATACAGATAGAGAACAAAGGGTCTTGTTAGCTGCCTGCTTTCACACATGTATGCGTTCTCTCTCTATAAATCTATAAAGAGCCAAAAATAGACCAACCTGCTCCACAGAACCTGGCCCCAGAAGTCCTGGGAAAGGGGATGTTGGCATCCTGGTATGACCCGTAGGCAGTGGTCACGCGAGCAAACGTGGGTAAGGGTGGTGTGACCGAGTTCGGGAGTGCGAAGGGGTTGCTGGAGGCGCTGTCTTCTTGGTTCTAAAATTTAAAAATCAACAAACTGAAGAAAAGCGAGAAAATTTCACTACCACTAAAGCCAAATTACAAAACAAAGACACATACTAGAAAACCAGGCAATCCAAGATTTTAGGGAGGAAGGAAAGCAATGGAGAAAAGCCTATGTGTGTACAACGTTCCTCTCACCACGAAAGACTCCAGGCAGGAGACGAGCTGACGCAGGCACGGCTCCAAACAACTCTGGTTGCGCTTCACTTTTTGCAGGGAGGTGTCTTTCAGGATCTGAAAAAGGGACAGAGCACAGTCAAGGCGGCGGCAGATGGCCTCTGACTTGCCTTTATCCTGCAAAGCAGTCAGAAGCAACGAAGATGTGACAAGCCTGGAGTATGGCTGAGGCTTCGGCTTCTAGAACTCTACAGAGGCTCAGAGAGGATTCTTTCCTGATCCCTCAAGAAAACCCTTTCCTTAGGCAAGGCAAACACATGCTGGCTTCAGAAGAAGGTGCTTCTAGTCACAGGATGACCAGGCTTCATTTCTGGTCAATTATGGCCCTTTCGTTTTCCTGACCCCAGACCCCATGAAAACTGCTGAATAATATTAAGCCAGTGGGAGAAGATTTCACTTTAGTGGAAATGACAATGGGTCATCGTTTGGTATCCTCTAAGGGTATAAGTCTTAACCTTTCAAGGAACATACCATATATATGTGAATTGGCAGACATATATCGAAGAAAAGCATACATAAATTAGACCTGTAGTCTCTGATACAGGGTCGATGCCCACATGGGGCTACGGAGACTTAGCACCTGAAATGTGGTTAGTCCAAATAGAGGTGCTGTAAGTGTAAAAGCCACACTGAATGTTGAAGACTTGGTACCGAAAAAACCCTCAAAAACCATGGGGGCTGTGTGTGTGCATAAAACACCTCAGTTTAGTTTTTATATCAGTTACATATGATATAATACTTTGGATGCAAAAAAAAACAACAAACTCCTCCAAACCACGTTATTTCCCTTTCTGACTCATGCCGATTTCCAAACCTCTGGCAGGTCTCCAAGGCTCTAATTCTCTACAGACAGGCCTCCTAAGGAGCGACTGGTGAATATGAACTGCAGACCTTGCAACAGCAGCCTGACACTTCTGGCGTGCACTATGTCATCAGGGCTCCAACGCTGTGAGCGTACAGGGTTAGAGAAAACGTCCTGACAGGAGCTCTGGGGACAAAGCCCTCAGGGTGCTGAGCGGCTAACCAAAATATTCTTACAGTTTATTTACCTGCTGAACCCTCTACCATCTGGATTCCGACTCGGTGCAACTCTGCAGAACAAGGTAGATGTGGCCCAGTGTTCCTAAAGCTATTACTCTCGAGGGAGCCGACTGCCTGCCACGTCTTTCACCCACAGAGTGACTGGGGGGAGGGTTTCAAACTGCCAACCACTCCATAAGCAGTCAAGTGCTTAATCACTGTGCCACTAGCAATCCTCTTTTGCTTGTTTTGTTTTTCATTTATCTGCTACCTTTTGGGGTCTTTTTATTTAAAAAAAATGTTGTTGTTATGTGCCGTTGAGTCACTTGCTACTCATTGCGACCCTATGTACAACAGCCCTAAACTCCGCTCTGTCCTGTGCCAATAGCACCAGCTCCGATACACCCATTCTAATTGCCCCAGTCACTGAATCAATCCACCTCATAGAGGGCCTTCCCCTCTGGCACGGTCTCTCCACCCTAACAAGCATGATGTCCCTCTCTAAGGACCGGTCTCTCCTCACTACATGTCCAAAGTATGTTAGAAGGAGCCTCAGAATCCTTGCCTCCAAGGAGACACCCAGTTTAACCCTCTCCAGGATGTATCTGTTTGTTTACCTAGCAGTCCATGGTATTCTCAATACTCTTCTCCAGCACCACAGCTCAAAGGCATCAATTCTCCTTCTGTCCTCCTTAGTCATTGTCCAGCTCTCTGATGCATAACAAGTGACAGCAAAGACCATGGCCAGTATCAGATGCACCTTAAGTCTCCAGAGAGACACCACTGCTCTTCAGTACTTTGGAGAGGTCCCTAACAGCAGACTTTCCCATGGCAATGCGCCTTTTAATTTCCTAGCTACTGGTGCCAAGAGTGTTGACTGTGGAGCCAACCAAACTAAAGCTATGAACAATCTCAAGTTCTTCACCATCCATCTTGATGCTGTCAATTGGCCCCGTGGTGAGAATCTTTGTCTTCTTGACACTGAGCCTCAATCCACATTGGAGGTTGCAGTCCTTGACCCTCTGCAGCAAGCGCTTCAGGTCCTCCTCACTTTCCAGAAGCAGGGTTGTGTCATCTGCATATCACAGACTGCTAACAGATCTTCCACCAATCTTGACCCCACATTCATCCTCATAGAGACCAGCCTCCCGGATAATCTGTTCTGCATACAGGTTGAAAAGGTATGGAGACAGGACACATCCCTGGTACACGCCCTTCCCAATTTTGACCCATGCAGTGTTCCCTTGCTCTGTTCTGACGACTGCCTCCTGGTCCAAGTATAGGTTTCTCATTAGCACGATCAAGTGTTCTGGGATTCCCATTCTTCTCAGAGTCAGCCACAGTTTGTTATGATCCCCACAGTCAAACGCCCCTTTGCATAATCAATGAAACACAGATAGACATTCCTCTGGTATTCCCTGCTTTCAGCCAAGATCCATCTAACATTAGCTACAATATCCCTAGTACCACCACCCCTTCTAAACCCAGCCTGGAAAAAATGTAGTTAATAAAAAGTATGCCGTTAAAAAAAAAAGGTTTGCAGTTATATGTGGCCTGTGTGCCGTTTCTACGGAAGAGCATGGAATCAGATCTTTACAGATACCACCTAGTCCTATCATTTTATTGTTGCTGCTGCTGGTGATGTGTGCTGTTGAGTCGGAACAGACTGAGAGCTGGCCCTCCAGCAGGTTTTCAGAGGCAGTTAATCACACACGCGGGACTGCCCATCCTTCTCCTGCATCATTATACAGGGGGGAAAAAGACCTTTTTGCATGTCCAGATGAGGCAGTGAAGTACGCAGATTCCAAGTACAAAATGTCAAATACTACACAACCTGATGAGAATTTCAGAGAGCTCTAAAACACTTGAAAAATGCCTTAGTTACATATGCTAACCCAACAAGATGGACTAACCAACCACGTACAAGGAAACCAGACACAAGGTGAGTCACATCCAGGCTCAGCATCTCACAGGGATTCTGTAAGAAACATCAGTTCAACTGAAGACAGGGTGTCAGCATCAAGCTTTCTGGCCTTTTTATGGAGATTCTACTCGCTTAGCTTTGAGTGACCTGACAAATCAGCTTTCTGGATCTGTAGGGTTGAAGATCAAGGGCAAGGCTGCAATGCCTCGCACTGACGTGCCACTTGCCCACATGACCTTCCTTCCCGGTCAGACGGCCTCACTGCAGAACATCGTCTCCACTCATTGAGTGGATTTTAAAAAAAGAGAATAACCTTACCGTTTTTGTCAGCACTCTGGGTGTCAGAGCACTCTGTGCCTATGCTTCTGTCCTCTGGTTGCTTCGAGCCAATTCTGACACACACGTGTGTCAGAGGAGAGCTCTGCCCCACAGCCTCTTCAGGAGCTGATATTTTGGAAGTCAGTAATCACCAGGTTTGGGTAGGATTTTTTCAGGGTTTTCTGAGGGGACCAAGGCCTTGGTTAGCAGCAAGGCATGTTAAATGCAAATGCAGGGCTGTTAACCTGGAATCAAAAGGAGTCTTTTTCATGAGGTTTTCAAACCTTCTGACAAGCATCTCAAGAGGGTTATTTCCTAGAGAAGCATTCAGGAGCTCTGGTGGCCTAGTGCCAAGAAACTGTAATCCTGAAGGAGTGTGGTTTGAATCCACCAGATGCTCTGCTAGAGAAGGAGAGGCAATCTCCTCCTGTGCCAAGAGGATCCCATTTGACAGCACACAACAACACAAAATAAATTTAAAAGAAGAAGAAGAAGAAGTGTTCATAGTTTTCACAAGACATTCAAAAGGTGTCTAAGACCCAAGACAATCTAAGAACCACCACTCTGCTCTTTTCTTCACAGTGAATACAGATGCTGGGGTTACACCAACAGTGAAATACGCCAGCAGATAACAGCTTCCCAGGGCCACCTGTCAGTTTACGCTCAACCCTCACTGCTCCACTCAGACACTCAGAAGTGTGAGCAGAGGTGTTCTCTCACAGCGTCCAAAGCCTCACCTTGAGCAGCTTCGCCTTCATCGTGGACGTGATGGTGGTGGGGTTAATAAACTGGAAGGAAGGGGCAGCGTTGTTCGGGTACTGCGCCGGGAACTTCACCAGCATCTTGACACGATGGTTGCTGCAGTGCACGGACACCGTGCAGCTCCTGTCGGCTGCATCCATCTGCAAGACGCAGAGCAAATGCACTGAAGTCAGCCAGCAAAAGCTGTGTGTCCCTGGTGCAAAGGGAGAGAGTATGCTACCTTCACAAATAACGGGCCCACGTAAATAACGCGCCCACAAGCGTAACAGGTAAAAATGCGGAAAGTGAAGTGGTGAAATGGTTCTGGAAGAATGCACGCATTATTTGTGTAAAAGTACAGCATACACAGAAAGGCTAACGAATACGTAAAATCTGGACGATGATTCCTTTTCAAAACGGAAGTTTTATTTTAGCACCTATTTAATAAGGTCAAATTATACTGGCTTTAAGACTGTAACGTTGGAACTACAATCCCAGAGGCGCACGGTTCGAATCCACCAGATGCTCTGCCGGGTAAGGAGGGACAATCTCCTCCTGTACCAGTCAGATCTGATCTGACGGTACACGCACACAAAAATAATAAAATAAAAATTAAAAAAAAGAAAAAACAAACAAAAAAGACTGTAACATGTGAAAATGGTTGATTTGGTATATAAATATATATATATTTATTCTCAAAAACAAAACAAAAATTTTTTTTGTATTTTGACTTTAAGCAGTTTGATTCCAAACCTACAAGGTAAGAGTAAAAATTTATTTTGAGATGAAAAACTAAGGCAGAAAGAAGTTAAATATGTTGACTCATGTTGAAAAGTTCTCCTGGGCTGAGATGGGAAGTAGATAATGAAGAGAGGAAGAAACGGTGCGCCTGCCAATGGTCCAGGGAGTCTACTGGGACGACGACAATTTTCTGCAATTAGACACTAATGATGGCTGCACAACTCTGTGAATATATGAAAACTCAGTGAGTCGTACACTTAAAAAGGATGAACCTTCTGGCATGTGAATTATACTTCACTGTTAAAATGTCCCCCTAGGGAAAGGAATCAAGAACTTCTCTTTAAACGATACTGTTAGAGTCTCAACTGGGACCAAGAGAGTATAAACTGAGTTAATACAAAAAAATCAATTCATCAAGAAGTCTATTATCTCTTTTGATTTCCTGTGCAGCCTGAAGTTAGCTGAGGAGGAGTGAGAAGAGCCCCACATGTGGCAAATCTGGAACTTGGATTCAAATATTGTCTTTACCACAAAATAACCACTGCCCGTGGACAAGCCTCTTCAATTGCTGGTGTCTCAGTCTCCTTATCTGTAAAAAAGATACTTACTGCAAGGAGGTGTTTTGTTGTTGGGGTTTTTTAAATTTTTCACGTGTACTGTCAAATTGGATCTGACTGATACAGGAGGAGATTGTCCCTCCTTCGCCAGCAGAGCATCTGGTGGGTGCATTCAAACTGCATACATCTGGGATTGCAGTGAAGTTTCTTGCCACTAGGCCACCAGAGCTCCCTTGCAAAGAGGTGTTTTGAAGAGACTAAACGAGATCATATGTAATGGTATCTCTATCTTCGGTAAACGGAATCTGGGCAAAAGGAAAACCAAGTTCCTGGAGAGATACTCAAGTCTCTGCAGCAAACAACTTAGTTGTCTGTCCAAAGGGGGGAAAGAGCAAATCTCTCCAGGAGCTAAGCTCACAAGGCTATTCAGCCACCCGCCAAACCCAACTCAAACCCAAACTGAGTTCCACTAAGTGGACTGTGACTCTCAGGACTCCTGCAGGACAGTGCAGAAGTGCCCCAGAGGATGTTCAAGGCTTTAAATCTTTACAGAAGTACACTTCAACCCTGTGGAGCAGCTGACAGATTTGAACCATCAACCTTTCAGTTAGCAGCCAAGTTGCTTAGCCACTTCACCAGCAGGGCTAACATTTGGTAACTTGCTTACAGTAAATCTAAATCACAGAGGTAGCAGACAGCTCACAAGGGAAGACAGCGAAGGGACATGGGTTCTAAACTCAGCCCTGCCATTAACTGCACTGATGAGACGGCCCAGAGCTAAGTCCTTCCAAGTCTAAGGCTCCGGACACAGTGCAACAGGTGCCGGAGCGTCTAAGGGGAAGCTGAGGCACACGAGTATCAGTTTATCCTCTACCTCAACTGATGAGGAGAGAATGGGTTAAGAAAGGAAAAGCGTGCCTTTGTAAAACACCTGGATCTTCAGAAACTCTAGGAGACAAGAAGCAGAGATTTCTCTCTCAGAGAAACACAGCTATGTGCCACCTCAAACTTCAGCTGAACTAGCCCCCTCTCCCAGCATGCAGGGTCTGGGCACCTCCACGTTGACGTTCCGGATCTGCACGTTGATCAGGGAGAACTCCTGCTGCAGAGTCTGAGGCAGCCCCAGCTGATCGGACTTCCTCTCCTCCAAGAGCGTGCTCGGGGGATCTTCTTTTGAGGCTGAAAAGGGAAAGAAGGGCAATTGTTGGAAAATATATTTTTTTAAATGAGTCAGAGAGTAGCAGCTCCCAGTTGTCTGAATTTTCCTGTCTTTATGGAACCTCTAAGTTGATTTAAATATTTATGGAGAAACCTAGAGCCCCTGAAGATGTTCCAGGTGGAAGGGCTCATCCCACCAGCCATCAAGACTGAATTTAAACCTCTCTGGACTCTCCACCACGTGGACTGACACAGAGACTGCTGCAATGGGCTCGAATGTGTCAGAAATGATGCAGCGACACATACAGGATGGGGCTCAGACCGCTGTTTAGAGGGTCACTAGGAGTCGTACTTAACTAGACAGCACCTAACAACAACAAAAACTGTAATAATAATGGTCTTGAATTTACAAAGTCTTCACCCAGAGTTCTTTTCAAATTAAGATAAAAAGAAGTAGGACTTTCTAAAGCCAAATGTTCTTTTAAATTCTAATTGCAGGCGACCTCTGGTGGCCTAGTGGCAGGAAGCTGCACTGCAATCCCAGAGGTGCACAGTTCAAATACACCAAATGTTCTGCTGGAGGAGAACAACCTCCTCCTGCACCAGTCAGATCTGATTTGACGATACACACACAAAAAATAATTTAAAAAATTTAAAAAAAATTTTAATTGCATAGGTTTTCCTTCAAATTGAGTTTTGTCTTTAAAGAGTTTATAGTATTTCTTTAAAGGTTCTAAGATCCTCGTTTTTTTCTCTATGTACAATTACCTTGTAAGCGTCTCCTCTTTGAGTTTGGTATCCACCCCTCAGTCCTCTCTACTATGGCTCCCCCGACGCAATTACCCAAGAAGTCTAGGCTTCTGATCTTGCCTCAGTTGTTACCTCATCTATGAAATGCTCAGAGCAGCACCTCCCCGAAAGTCCCAGGCAGACAATTTACCTTCTTCCTCCCCGTGGCTTGAGCTGTGCTGGTGATCAGTCTCTTGAGTGTGAAGAGTCTTCTCCGGTTCCGGCAGGAGAGAGATGCTCTCGATGAACTCATCTACGCCATCCAATATGTCATTGGCGCACAGCTGAAACAGAGCACAAAAGACTGCATCTGTGGGTGGCAGTGGCAATGACTTTTCTATTTGGTTTAAGAGTCCTGACTTCGACATGGGACTCACAAAGGCGAGAGATGTGTCAGCCAAGAACTAGTACCAATCAAAACAGGTTTACTCATGACCACCTCCCTCTGGTTAAATGCACGGGATACTATACTCTATCCTGTACACTGTGCATCAACACCGTATTTCATGCAGGCTTCAAGAAAAACCCTTTTTTCTCCCTTTTCAGCAGGAAGTAGCTAAGAGAATACACCATCCCCTTTTCCTTATGAATCAGGGTGAAGTCTCTCTCACGGAGGAGTGATAGGGAATGGCAAAGGACACACTGACAAAGGAGATCAATCAGAACTGGCTTTGACAAGCACTGTGGCAATTGGACAATTAAAACAGACATTCGGGGAGGGGGGAAGAAGAACGAACTAGGG